ACGTTGAATTTTACATGCGCAGAATACATTAAAAAGAAAATGAGATAAAATTCCTCATTTTTTTTGTTTTAAATTCATTTGGCTCATATAAATTGCAGCATTTGAAACTGGTGCAAACATTATGACTCACCACTCCAAAGCGAAAAAATTACGGAAGAATTTGACTGCCTTTAAAGTGATCCATTTGAATTCCGCTAGAGTTTTGAGGGTGTTTACACATAATGTATATCTCTGTCAAAATTTGTCAGTTTTTTGTGAAAAAATGACGCTATTTCTTGTTTACACATTGCTAGATGTTTCTATCTCTAGCCGCAGATAGCCGTAGAGCAAAAGACGTTATTTGCAATTTATCTTTCTCTTTTTTTTCTCTCTGTTTCAGGCTTATTGCACGGAAAGTTTACCCCGAAAAATGAAAAATTTAGCCGAAATAAGAAAACTTTTGACAGTAAGTGCAAAATAGCCACGATTGTAAGAATTTCTTTCGATATTCATATTACGCAATCATTACATATGAAAGTTGCTAGACTTGTCTTGAAGTACTTTATTCAAGATGATTTACAATACATATGCTTCAACAGGAAGCACTCAGATATGCTGCTCACCAAGATATGGGCCTAAGGCTGGCCTACTCTACCTAGCAACTTTTGGCGGACGAGAGATACATAAAGCACTTCCCTTTGCTATGTAGCTAACTGCTAAAACGCTCGACTTCTACAGCCAGTCTAGACGTTGTGCAGGCAACAATCTCTTGTTGTCGCAATCTTTGTCGCGGTCTGAGAGCTTGTACGCAAGCTATTCACATACAAATTACACTTTTTCCGAGCTCTGTTGCCTGACATTTTGGTTTTACTTTCCCACAATTTGCCCACATGGAACAAGTTCAACAAAAACATACAATATTGATGCAAACGTTTTCATGCTATTTTTGCTAAACATCGCCGCTTGAATGTAACTAGATTTCAAGCAGGCCGTGTTTTATCCCGTATCAGTGCTATCGGATACGTGTTTTATCCCCTCATCCGTATCCGTGTCATCCGTATCTGTGTTTTATCCCAATCCGTCATGTAATTTGTAAATGCGAAATAGAATTTAAAAGTTAATCGAGACTTTCCTTAAGTTGAAGTTTAATTTGAATTCTACGAGTCATCAGCCGGGAGTGGGAATGTTGTATGAGAGAGCATACGCATGCGCAAGTTAGCCACATTTCAAAGGAAGTCTGAGATCATTGATCGAGTAGAAGAGTTGGGTGGGAGTGATTGTAGAGCAATGGGTTCGGTCATACAACTCTACCACTCCCGGCTGATAACTCGTAGAATTCAAATTAAACTTCAACTTAAGGTAAGTCTCGTTTAATTTTTAAATTTTACTACGTCATAAGCCTAGGTCGTATCAAGTTGTATGAGATTTTACAGTGAACGATATAATCAGACTTAAATTTTTTCATTGAAAGAAAAAACAACAATTCCAGCAGTCAAGGTTAAATATCATATTAAAGGTTAACAAAACATATTAATTATTGTCTACCGGTGTCAGAATTATCGAGCCAAGATTAAATGAAGTTTTGATGGGTTTATGGTAGAATGTCTGAAAAGTAGTGGCATTTGACCAGCCAACCGACTCAATATTCTGATTGATGTCCCCTAATTTATGACCTACACAAGACCTAGAGGTTGCTTTGGTACTGTGACAGCCAAATTCCTTTGTAAATACCAGCTGCTGATAACACTGTCTTGCACCACAGCAATATTGTCTCACGTGAGACAGGTTGCACGGTTTCGTATAACTTAGGAAAAGTTTTTAACACTCTTCACTTCGTAAATTCTCTGTTCGCTTGATGTATTCCGTTAGGTGCTAAACGATACAGAGCTCAGGCTCATGAGGGTAAGCCTAAAAAACAATTGGTGGAATATGGTGTCCAGCTCTAGTTTTTTTAAATTTACTTGAATTACTAAGCCCCATTCCTCCACATCTTACAACCCTACATCACACAAAGCCACCACAATCAGAACATTAACAAGACGTGCACAAATCATATGTGATTCACCGGACGCTCTACACAACAAAAACAACTATCTCAAACGTGTTTTTGACAAAAACAACTATAACTCTGACTTTATCAGCACTTACAAACCCAACGAAACGAACATCTCAGTGACAACAGCAACGATACCTTACATCAAAGGTACGTCTGGGACTTTCTCGCGTATCTTACGACCATACAACATACGTGTCGCACATAAATTAATTACGTTACGACAAGTACTAACGAACATAAAGGACAAAGAACAACCCAACGAACGACAAGGTGCAGTTTACAAAATAAACTGCTGCGACTGCCACGCCTCCTTCATCGGGGAAACCGGCAGGAACTTAAACATAAGACTTACTGAACACCAACTAGCTACTAAGAAACAAGACAAAACTAATCACATTGCCGAATATCTCCGAATCGCAAAGCACAACATTGAGTGGGACTCGGCAAAATGTATTACTTACAGTACTGACTATAGACAACGGCTTACATTAGAAAGTTGGTATACCAACTTGGAACAAACCCCCCTGAACAGATCACAGCAATTACCGGCACCTTACAAACGACTTATTTACAATAAAAACAAACGATCAACTAAAAACATTACCCTTAACAGTAATTCACAATGACAATACACAATTGAAACCCACACATTACAACGAAAAACTTCACACCTAAATCACACTTCACAACTAAAAACATTTCTTTTTACACTAATTCACAATGACAATACACGTTTCCTGTACTCACAATACAATGAAGTAAGAACAAGATAACAAATACGGCTAGCCTGACGCTTACTCCTCATTTGAACCTGAAGATGAATACCGCTAAGGTTGTCGAAACGTCAGTCAACAACAACAAAAACAGTCCTTCTCAGGACTTTACCAACCTGGACGATCTACATTTACAAACATATAATTATATGATTCTATTTTCACTCAAATAGCGGGGATTTATTGGCTATTGAGTGTGGTTGCTTGTATTGTAAGTACTTCATCAGTATACAGGCTACTGCGTATTTTGCATAATAAAATTCACTATAAAAGTATTCCCCAAAACACACACCATTGTACGTTGAGAGTATACAGGCTACAGCGTTTTTTCGGCAATTTTTTGGAACCAGCTATACGTGCTACATTGTAATGCTAGATATTCAATTCAATGATTTCATAAATTTGGGAGGGACTTTGTGATTTTCTATTAGAAGAATTATGTTTTCACCACTTGAAGGCATGTTTTGTCTTTCAAAGCATGTCAGTTTCTTTATTTGTGGCTGTGTTTGCAACCATTTATGCAACCACACCATTTGCTCACCATTAGAGAACATGGAGCATTTAATTAAACAGCGTTTAATTAACTTAACAAAAGAGCTGTAGGATATTTACTATTAACAAGAAGAAACAATTGAGAGCATCAGTCGACAGCAAAGAAAAAAACCACATGACTGTTGTGAGCTACGTAATTCCGAATGCTTTAATAGGCGGTACAAATACAGTCTCAACGACTATGGATTGGTTTATGCTCATCATGATTTTGCAACCTGATTTGCAGAAGAAAATTCAGGAGCAAGTAGACGACGTGGTTTGCCGTGATCAACTTCCGTCTTTAAAAGATGCTTCAAATATGCCGTTGTTAGAAGCGACAGTTTGCGAAGTTTTACGTTATATAACCGTGCTTCCAATGACAAGTCGTAGTGCAACTAAAAATACAGTATTAAATGGTTTCACGATTAAAAAGGATTTTCCTCTTCTTGCCAATTTCTATCAAGTCCACCCCAATCCAAAGGTTTGGGAGAACAGCGAGGAATTCCGACCGGAACGCTTTATAGATGGAAATAAAAAAAAATTTGTGGGCTGGTCTGCATTTCCTCAGTTTGTTCCCTTTAGTGAAGGTTGTAGGATTTGCTTTGGAATGGCTTAGGCGAATGTTCAGCTACTTTTGATAAGTTCGAACCTTCTTTATCGCTTTAACGACGCTTTTCCTTGGAAGTGAAAAATGCTGAGCCAAAACCTGATCTGGAAAGTATACAACCACGTAACGTGGTAAAAATTACGTCATTAACATTGCATATACCAAAACACATTGTACTTTTTACTGGGCATTGTGCAATGTTAGGTTTAATCATTTTTTTGAATTGAAATTTTGCAAAATTAATAATTATTTCACAAACTTGGTTATTTAAAATCGTGGCCAGAGATTTGCCAGGCGGAAAGCGAATTTTCAATATGAACATAATAGCCCAATATAATACTTTTAAAAAAGCCATCACAATATCAAAATAGAGAAGGATTTATTAATAACGTTTCGTCTTTAACTTAAGACATCTGAAGATTTCTTAAGTTAAAGACATCATCAATTAATCTGAAGATGTCTTAAGTTAAAGACATCAATTAATCTAATTGGTTATATTGTTGACAATCTTGGATTGAGTTATTTCAGAGTCTTGATATAAAAAATAATGTATGAATGATATATGTTGAAACTTTAGTTTCGCTTTCAAGAAGTGTCATGAAAAGTATGTTTTTGTTAATGCTCTTGTTGATACTAATTTCAATGCAACAACTACGCGTCTGAAATAACTTATGTGTTCCAAAAGTGTAGTTTAGTTAGTGTTTTCTCTCTTAGAAAAGTTCTTGAAAATTAATTTATGAAGTATCAAAAGAAAATTGAAATAATCCTAGAAAATTAAGCCTGAAAAATGATCGTTTATAAAATCCTGCATGGCGCAACTTCGCTCTCCATTTATTGGCAGCTCAGTGACATTGCTCATATTGCGTCCTTTAAATTTTGGCGGGAAGTGTTCTCCCAGTTACATTCAGTTCAATGGATCTTCAAACTGTTTACTCCTTAAAATGTGACAGACACGGAATTAATAATTATTAATTATTGACTCCAGCTTTCTCTGAACTTTCAGGTTTACGTTTACCGTTAACGTGAATCTTTTTGGTCAGTTTTGTGTTTTTCCTCGATTCATGTATAATCATGTTCCACCCAAACATCATATTGCCATTAGAAATTTATCGCTGCATTTTGCTACATCTGCCTTTCAAAGATGTTATTCGTTGTATGTTGGTGTGTAAAGCTTGGAAGGTGAGCGGAGATTCTTTCAATGTAAACCGAAAGTACTTCGATTCTACTTCATTTTTTATTTAGAGGATGTTGAGCACGAAAAGTTTTTGGAAAAGTTATATTGTGAAACACTTTGATCTTGATGTAAAATCAGATATTTCTAACGAGTATCCTTTGGCCACGTGGGCTTCCAAGGCATCGGAGAAAGAATATCCGGAATCTTGGTAAGTTATATGTAATTTATCTTTTTTGAAATAAGCCAATAACTGTGGGTATAGCCGCCTCTGGTTGGTGAGATGGTGAGAGCTTTAATGAAAGCATTCACATTTGGGAGATTGTTACAAATATATTTTTCGAATTAGGACTTTTCGTATAATTCAAAGTGATTTGGATTTTGAAACATTTAGTAAAACTATTTGTTATAAAAAGAGGCATATTTACAGCCATAATATTTATTTAGGTATTGTTACTACAACAACAGAGATGATGCTTATGTCATTCGACCTTTTCCATCAATGTGGAATTGTGGTGTGATCCACCCGTATGGATTGGATCCTCTTGCTGGAGATGCTGAAACAATACAAGGATTAATTAGATCTCTTGAGATTTTGACTTATATGAAAAGTGAATTAGTTCGTCTTGACATCAACTGTGGTGAGTCATAAATGCACTTATTATATCATACTTATATTCTTACTCAGATGGACTTTTGCATTTCTCCTATTGTTGTATTACATAATAGCTATTGTGTTGCAAGATCCTTGAAATAGAAATTTTTCTCATGTATAGTAATGTAGTCTGTCACTTTTCTTACAATCAAAATTGCAACAATCCACAATATTTAGGAACTTGGCGATTTAGGCATTAAGCATTCTTAATTCATTAAGTTGTCATTAATTTATGAGAAATATGAGCAGATTACAGTTTGTAGAATTTAAAACTGATTATATTCAATAGTACTATCTTATGTCCTAACCAATTGGTTCATTGGTTTTGAGGTTTTGTTATGTATCAGTCACTCATAAACTACATATCAGTACTATGTTTGGGCTCTCAGTTTTGTATCCGAACTCTCAGTTTCACTGTAACAAATTTCTCCATAGTTGTGCTTATTTGCACATAAAATTCAAAATTTTATTTTTTATGCTCTGTTGCATTTTGGTTACTACTAAACACAAAAAATGAAGACTTCTTGATATTTGAAATTTGATTATCCAATGGAATAATTGCATAACTGTGGCTGGTTTGTCTTGAAAGAGCATATGCTTTCAGTTAAACTTGTGAAAATACAATATGGAAGTACTATAATTTGTTATAATGTTTAGCACCTGAGCTTCTCACGTCAACCTTGGTGAAATTTTTAGTTAAGTTTAAATTTATCTTATTCAGGATCCTACAAAATCTTCTAGGATCATACAAGATCTAAGCAATTTACTGTCTAATTAAGTCAGTCAAACACAACTGAATACATGAATACACATCCTCACCTCAATAAATATTCCCGGAACAGATCTGAGAATAGGCTGTTGTTGAAGTGAGTACCACATGTGAGAAAAGAAAATAATAAATACTAAAAATACTAAATCTATGAAATAACTAAATGTTGTATTATGGTTCTAGACTACAACTACAAATAAAGAAATCTTGCATGTCATTTTCTCTAGCAGCAGGATCTACTTACCTCAACCATGGTCTGGTCAGTGTACCCATTTATGCGATTTGTTTACTAGATGTGGTCTGATGAGCTTAACCTCTCCCACCTGCTTTAGATAGTTGTAAAGATCAGATTAGGAGGGAGTGTTTAAGTTCATCTGAACAAATCTGTTGAAAAATTTTCATATACAATGGTTCCACTGAACCTGGTCTAGAAAGAAAACAGGTTTTCTTTTCGAGAAATGTGTAGTTTTATGAGTCAGTTAACTAGCGTGATTTTTTTGAGATTGGCTGTGTTTTCTTGCACTTAAAGGACTGCAATGTTCAGATAGTGACACCGACGAACCAATCCAAGTTATCATTTTTCCATGGAATAAAGAGGAGTTTCCAAAGCCAATGGAATTAGTGAATGGAGTCTTTAAATTTCACCCAAAAATCTGCGAAAATTTCCTGAAACATACTAATTATATGGGCGACTTAATAGAAGAATAATTATATTTTCATTTGCAACCAGAGGATTTGAACGTAGATAGTGAAAGTCGAGATAAACCTTGCTTGAATGGTATTTTTGGCATAAGCTGTGTTGAAGATGATGAACTTTGGAAAATTCCACCTTCGAAGGAATTCTATAAATGGCTTCAATGCACAGTGTGCCCATCACTATCCCTTAATGTTGGTGAGGCTATGTCCCCATCAAAAGTAGTATACAGAGCGTTGCTGCTGGCGCATTTCACCTTTAAAGAGTGTTGCCGCTGGCGCACTTCAACTTGGGAAAGCGTCATTTCTGGCGCACCTCACAGTTTGAGAAGGAGTATACATAAATCTAAGCGCCCAAGCCCTTTTTCTCGTACATACTTCTTGTAATTATGCTAGCATAATTACGGCGAAGGTCAAACCCAATACAACGGCTGGAGCCAATGACTGCCGCCCCACCCCCCCCCCGCGCGGGTCAAGGACTTCAACCGCCTTCTGAACCAGAGTGGCCACCATCACCTCTTTTCTGTAAGCATTGTCTTCACGGCTTCACCAGGCAGGATTTGCTGGAAGAGCACAAGTCTGAATGTCGAGGCATCAACAAGGCTGCGGTTGCTATCAGAATGCCAACCCCAGAAAAAAACGACAAAATCTGCTTTGAGAACTACAAGCAGCTCATAGCGCCCTTCCTAATCTACTCCGACTTTGAGAGTCTGGTCTGCAAAATTGAGGGCCCCGCGCTTAACCGTAAAAAGAGCGGAACCCAGCAACCCTCCTGGCACGAGGCATGCAGCTACTCGTTAATAGTCGTCCGTTCCGACGGGGAAACGCAGCCGCCGCAGCTTTACCGAGGGCCTGACGCGGCTAAGCATTTCCTGGAAGCGCTCCAAGAAGAGGAACGTAAGATCAAGACGGTGTTGGCTAACCCCGAGCCTATGCACATGACAGAAAAAGACTGGGGAAGCCACAAGAAAGCCACAAATTGCCACGTCTGCATCAAGCCCCTCGAAGGCGATTCCGTTTGAGTTCACTGCCAAATTAATGGCAAGTACCAAGGTGCGGCCTACAATGAGTCCAACCTGAAGTTGCGCCTTAGCCCAAAGACGACAACCATACCGGTTGTCTTTCACAACCTGCGGGGCTACGACAGCCATCTCATCATGCAGACTATCGCAGAGACTGAAGGGAAGGTCACCTGCATCCCCAACAACCCTAAGAAATACATCTCTTTCAGTAGCGGCCAGCTCCGATTCATTGACACCGTCCAGGTAATGCTCTCAAGCCAGGATGACCTGGTGAAAGCCAGCGACCCGCAAGACAAGCGCATCACAGTAGACTGCGAGCCGATTCTCCAGAGGCGTACCCTCTTGCTCCGGAAGGGGATCTACCCCTACGAGTACATGGACGGCTGGCCACGATTCGACGAGGAGGCTCTCCCGACGAGGAGCTCTCCGATGAAGGCATTACCAATGACGACTATACCCACGGAAAAAAGGTCTGGGACGCCTTCGGTAGACAAGTCTCGGCGACTACCACGACCTCTACCTTCTGAGCAATGTCCTCCTCCTCGCTGACGTCTTCGAGAACTTCCGAAAGCTGTGCCTCGAGCGATACCTGCTAGACCCGGCCCACTATTACACGAGCCCGGACCTAAGCTGGGACGCTCTCCTCAAGCACACAGGGGTAGAGCTCGAGCTGCTCGCCAACATCAACATGCATCTCTTCATCGAGAAGGGTTTGTACGGCGGCATCAGCATGGCCAGCAGGCGCTTCGCCATGGCCAACAATACCAAAGTGCCAGTCTACGATTCGAAGAAGCCCCAAAGCTGGATCCAGTACTACGACGCCAACAACTTGTACGGCTGGGCGATGTCGCAGCCGCTGCCGACAGGCGTGTTCGAGTAGGTCGCCGAAGAGTATGAGAAGGCGGCCCTGAACCAGCCTGTAGATGCATAGAAGGGTTACATTCTCGATGTCGATCTAGAGTACCCAGAAGAGCTGCACGACTAGCACAATTCATATCCGTTAGCGCCAGAACGCCTGAAGGTCGACAACGCGTGGATGTCGAATTATAAACGAAATCTCCTCAAAGATATGTATGGGGGTGCGTCTCACGAAGTCGAAAGGCTGGTTCCCAATCTGCGCGACAAGATCCGATACGTCCTGCACTATTGGAATCTGCAGCTCTATCTGCAGCTTGGCGTGCGCCTGCAAAAGATCCACATGGCACTCCGCTTCGATCAAAGCCCATGGATGGAGCCCTAAATCCGGAAAAACATCCATTTCCGGAAGAAGCCAAAGGTGTTAAAAAGGCCCTCATGAAAAAGCATATCAGTCATGCCCAGTAGAAAGAGGCGCTCTTCGAAGCAAAGCGATTCCGCCATGGTATGGATATGCTGCGCAGTCGCGGGCATCAGATCTTCGGTGAGCATGTCAGCAAGACATCGTTGAGCCCGCTGGACACGAAGCACTGGATCGCGGCCGATGGGATCTCTACCCTATCATACGGTCATAGGGAAGCCGGTGCGCAGGTGAATATCACATTGGACTAATCATCATTACATTAGACTTACAGAAATAAATGCCTTCCACGGCTAAGCCGGCGGTGTTTCGGTATCAATGGGCACCCTTTGGAGCTCCTCGCGCACAAACGCGCGCTTGGGCCCATCGCTAAAATAATACAACACGGGCTTCACGTCCTCAACCACTGCCCGCTCGATCTGGTGCGAGGTCACACTCCAGATAGGATTGGTCGCCCTACGCCTTTCGCCACCCTCGAGTTCGCCAGGCGCATACAAATACCGCACCATAACATCCAATGGCTAGCGTTGCTCTTCGAAACCAACTGGATGAAGCGCCGGCGCAGCGGGTTTGGCCTTGACGCTCTTCTTCCGAATCGCAAGGGAGAGCTTTTCGCCTTTCAATCGGGAAGTTTCATTATTGAGCGCTTTAATCACCTCAGGTAGTCTTGATGACCATTCTTTGTTCCGAGTTCCGGGCTCAGCCAGCTCGCAATGATACTGGTAACGGAACAATCGCTCCGCCAAAGTTCGGTTGAATCTTTCTACGATTCCCTGATCTCTATGAACCCCGACCCTACCCCGTCGAATCGTAACACCATTTTTATCACAAGCTTTTTGCACAGCCACGCGGAACTCCGAGCTAGGGTCGACTTGTAAAACTTTAGGCCATCGAAGAGGCCCACGGGCATAAATAGACTCTAACGCCTTCCCAACTTGGGTCGCTGTCTTGTCTGTGATCGCCTGGGCCTCCTTACACCTACTTGCTATGTTGACGACCGTCAATGCGTATTTGAATGTGCGTCTTCCAACTCGATCGTGAGGGAGATACAAGAGATCGGCCTGGTGGACCTCATTCGTGGTGCTGATTTCAAACTTAGGTCTGGGGATAGCACTTCGCGCTGGTGCGGGCAAGTAGATCTGCCAGATGGCCTGTTTTATTAGTCATTCATGAGCCACATCCTTGCCGACGCCCTCCTCTTTATCCAGCCTTGGAATAGCAGCACGGCCGCGCCAGTACCCCGCAGGGCTGTAGTACGAATCTGCGAGGCGTTCCTCAACGCTTCCGTTAGAAACGATTATTTTTCCTACATTACGACGAGATTCACTTTGGGAAAGAAACCTAGAAACAGCACTACC